ACTCCCACCTCATTTAATATAATAATAGATGCACTCATGCAACATCAACATGTTCATTAATGTACTTAACGACATGTGCAAGTTATTAGTATTTACATACTTACTATTAATATTACAAGTAATTATCATTGATCAAAAGCAAAGATCATTAATTAATGTCAAATACCTTACAGTTTGGCCAACAAATTGATTGAATAGTGTTGTTCATATACATTGTATACTTAAACCCGATATTTTAGTACTTGAGCCCAAAGTTTGAATCGAGTGCTCGCATGAAACTGGTGTGACATACCTGTGCCCACTGGCCCTCACTTGTGATCCATAACAGTACTTATTCTTAAGGCTTTAGCCAATTTAGACAACAAAGCAATGAGCTAAGGGTTGGCTAGAAATTGGTCCAGGTATAATTCAAATTGAATAATATGAATTAAAGTTCGATATTAATAATATTTTTTAAGGCAGAATATAATTTAAATTTTAGATATAATTAAAATTTTAACCAATATTATACTTGATATTTTAATTGTTTAAATTCGTTCATTAAACAATTTATATGGCAACTTCTAAAAATGATTAATGTAATATATTATTATTTTAATCCCATTTGAACATACACTTTATCTATTTATTTTATCAAGATAAAAATTGCGTGATTACTATTCTAAAAATTGTACTTGTAAATATGATGTAAACTTGAACTTGCGGACATTGTACCATTAAAAATAATTAATTAATTAAGCATGTTCAAAATGTACTAAAAACTAATTTTAGCACGTTGGTAATTAAAGATGATAATTATAATGAAGTTTTATATTTATAATTAATTGTCAGTTGACATAAGTTCATAAAAACTTGTACATGTATACAAATTAATATAAATATTTGAAAATTATTTTATTAATTTATTTTGATAAGTTAATAAAAACATTTGACCGCATCTGAATTTGCATTAGTATTTTTCAAACTAAAATATGGATGAAATTAAACTAAACGAAACGTTGCCTGGTCATTTAGTAATAAAATCAGCACATAAACACCTTTATCGTATTGGTTTGCCTTTTAATTCACTACAATATAAATCCGAAGATCGGTTAATATTCAATAAACCACTCGTTATGTTCATTGTATTTGTGACCATAGAAGTAAAATTACTAGCGATCGAGTTAGTATATCATGATGATAGCAACATGCTCAATATCCTGGGTGATTTTGGCCATTTTATTGGCATTAGGTTTCAGATTAATTGGTGTGTTTTCTTTGGAGTATTCTTTACAATCGGAATTCAATTGATTTATTACTATAACTATACTAAAGGTATTGAACCGACATTTTTGGCATTGTTTGAAATGATGGCCGGTTTGCGAACACCCAGTAGTCTAGGCATCGGTAGTAATAAATTTGTTTACAATTTAGTAATCAAAACTAAATATTTGACTATAATCTTAGAGCATAACAACAATGTAATGCTGCCCACAATTTCAGGGTTAATGTCGATAATACCGTATATAATGAACAGCGATTTGTACACTATATTAATCTACGGTTTACCCAATGCTATTCTCTATACTATTGCCTGTTATTACGCGTGGAATATAATATTGTTTAACGTATTGTACTTCTATATAATATGTCATTACATCAGACATAAGTTACAGTCATTAAACGAGACATTAGGGTACTTCAAACGCCGGCATAAATACGACCAAATTCTGCATAAAATGCACAAATACTACGAGTTGTACCGCGAGATCGACGCCTATAACCATACGGTTTGGTCAAAGTTTTTGTTGACCTTTTGGTTCAATTTGGGTTCGGCTGTAGTATTACTGTTGGTATCGATACTCTTCTCATCGGTTGCCCTCATATTTCAGTTGACAATCATTTATGTGTTTCTAGTGTTGGGAACACTCTTTCTGTTTGTGATATTCACCGCCTCTTCGGTCAATCGCGAGGCCAACAAAACGTATACTATTTTCAGCCAAATTTACGTTTTATTTAGATATGGTAACACTTGCGGCAATAAAATAAAGGTATTAATAATTTTTGCATTGATATATCTAATTTATTTAATTAAGCAAAATTTTATTAAAATGTATTTATTTTTTATATATCTTATTAGTTAATGATGTTTTTGGAGAGACTATCGAATAGAGATGTGGGCTTTTGTTGTTGGAAATTGTTCACAATAAACTATGCTAGGTGCTATGAGGTATGCAATTGAATGATAATATTTTGTTTACATTAAATGATGAAATATTATTTTATCAAGTTTAATTTGTTTATTTAAAGTGTATTTTATTTCCTAGATTATTTGCTTCTTTGGATGCATTCTTTTAAAAGTGATTGAAATGTCATTCAAAGATAAAACATCAATTTAATTATTTGTTTATTAATTATAGAATTTATCTAAATAAATATTTACATTTTAAACACTGTTTAGTATGTATTGTTTCAAATGCTAAACTTTACTTTATGTAATTGTTTCACTTTTATATAAAAAAATTATTACATCATATACTTTACTGTAATTTTCCATAACAAGTCTTATTCAAAAGGTTGAAACTATTGGTTGTAGTTTTACTTATTAGTTTGTACTAAAATAATGCCAAAGTACAGTCAAAAAGCTATCTTGTCAACTAATCTATGTTATTAACCAAATCCCAAGAACCATTCTGTTGATAGCATATATATTTGACTTTAATTTACTATTATGCAATGTTTAGTTTAATAATATAAATGGTAAAATGCAAAAATAAGCATGTTCTAATTGTGCGACTTTTTCATATAATATTTGAATAATTAACAACAATAATTGATATGTTTTTACATATGCTCTTGTTGAATAAGATATTCTACATGTATGCTGTACATTTACTGTAAATTGTTTTAAAAAATTATAATTATGCATTTATTATAATTTTTATTATTATCATGACATTTTTATTATCAAAAAAAATTTAACGACTATTTTCTTAAAACAATTCAAGTTACACAATGTGTAGCGAGAACATTAAATAAAAGTTATTTATAATTATAATAGTACTAATAATAGTAAGGTAGTACAATAATAGTACAGTATAGTATTACTAGTACTAAATTATCAGACATTTATCATTTAATCAGACTTTTAATGCATAAATAATTTTCAAATAACTTTTGGCAATTATTAAGCAATTGTTGTTCACATAAATCGTAAAACTCTGCGTCTATACTATTGGTGTGAATATAAACTTTTGTTAAATACTTTAATTGTGACAAACAATTGATGGCCTCTTCATTGACTACTACACGACGTATAGAAATATCGGTCAGTTTTGGCAAATGTTTATCAATATTAGTGAAAAAATCGGCGCTTATATAATGTTTGTTATATAAATGGACCTTTAAATGTGTTAATCGTTTGCATTCTTTCAATGTTTCACTCGTTATGGAAATATTTTGTGTAAAATCAGATGATATTTTCATGCGTTTTAATTGTCGAAAGTGTTTATTGATAATATCGGACACTATATACGAGGGATTGAATGATATTTCAAGACTTAATTCCTGTAGTTTACGACAATTGACACCAATTTGTTTTAATGCATTCAATGCCGAGATTTCTATTATCTTGTGATTTGAGTTAAAATAAATGCAAATTCTTTTCATGTTTCTTAGTTGTGACAATCCTTTTAATAATATTTCAATTGATTTCTCATCACATGAGTGATCGATCTTCACGTCAATGGATTTTAAACTATTTCTATAGTTATCAACAAATATTTTAATTATTGTCGTTTCTTCAATCCCATAACAAAATCGCAAATTAGATAACTTTTTAAAATTACCTTCATTTTTATCACTAATAATATAAATAAATAAATAATCGAGATAATGATATTCTGTGCTTAATTGAAGCAAATTTTCACATTTCTTGATATTCATTACAAGGGATGTCTCCTTTGACTGATCATCAGTTGTGAAACAATCGATTGATTTTAATTGTTTGGCAAACTTTGCAAAAAACTTATCAATTATTTCAACACTAATTTCTCGCCAATTGATGGAAAATGATTGCAATTTATGGCAATGTTTTATAATTAACTCCAGGAATGGGTCTGTTATACGAATATCAAGTTTAGTATAAGAACTATAAAATTGGCCGAAGTCTTCAATATATGTAATATTTTTGCATTTCTTTAATATTAATTCAAATGTCAATAATTCACACAATTTATAGTCTTCATTGTACTGAATATCTGTTAGTGTATTGAATACAAGTCTTCGCCACTGTTTTGATAGACATTCACAACGGAATCGGTCTTCAAGTGTGAGGAAAGACAACAACTCTTCGCACAAATCGTCACCAAATCTATCGAAACTATCTTTACTGTAATTATTTTGCATTTCTATGAAGTATTTCTTGAAATTCACAATAATTTTAAATAAATTTAATGATAATTAACAAAATAATTGTAATAATAATAAATGTATACAAAATGGCAATATTTATAACAATAATATTTCACCACAACTTTGCAATACATTAATAATACTTTATGATAATTTACACAATACCTGTGTTTACGTAATAATTATTGTTTGTTATCCGTTTGTATACTTGGATACTATAGTTACTATCAATTCATGCGCTGAAACTTGTTTAATAAATATTATTTGCTAACCAAAGAATATTTAAAATTCAGTGAAGGTTAAAAATAACAAAATTTATGTATTGATAATATAAAAATATATAATAAACAAACTAACTATGCTAAAATTAATAATCTAATTATTAGTTATCAAGTTTAGCAGTGAGTGCTTACAAGTGCATATCAGCGTAAAATCCAACATGTTTCACTTGCATATTATTGAATAATACTAACATTAGGCATATTACGGTTTAGTGAGTCTACCAGAATGCAAAGTATAAAAGGGTTACACATTTACTACACATAAACATATTTGTTTAATTGATTGCAACCCATATCGGTTAGTTAGCGAAAACAACGTTCATATAAATGGCACCAAAAGCGCTGATAGTGTTGGCCCCGGGATCTGAAGAGATGGAAGTGGTTATAGCGGCCGCTGTGTTGGTTAGAGCGGGGGTGAGAAAAATTACATTAATTACACTATGGTTATTTGTAATTATAAATTACATATTATAATAATTTATTGTTGACCACACATATATAGGTGTCGGTGACTGTGGCCGGTCTGGAGGGCCAAGTGGTGCACAAATGTCGAGTCCACGTAATGATAGCGCCGGACGTATCGCTGGAGTCGGTGAAAGACCAGGCGTTTGACGCGCTTATATTGCCCGGCGGTCTAACCGGGTCGGAGCGGTTGGTGGCCAGTCCTCTGGTCGGCCACATATTGCGCCGACACGAGGTGTCCGGTGCCCTCATAGCGGCCATATGTGCGGCCCCGACAGCACTCAAAGCACATGGTGTTGGACTCAAAAAGCGGATCACTTCCCACCCATTCGTTGCCGATCAGCTCCGGGAGCACTACTCATACAGTGAGGATAGGGTTGTGATCGACGGACAGCTTATCACGAGTCGAGCCCCGGGAACGGCCTTCGAGTGGGCGCTCGCTATCGTTGAGAATCTTGTGGGCAAAGAGAAGGTGGAAGAAATAAGACCCCCGCTGTTTCTCTAACATCAGGGTAATTGTAATGTAGTTGTGTGCTTAAAAATAATTAAATCCTATGCGATTATTGGTAATCAATAAAATTACATTGGTTATAATTAAATTAATATTATTCAATTTGTTATTGTTTATGAATATGCTTTTAATGATTTCGTATACCAAGTATTTCATATGTATTGATATGAAAAGTTAATAAAATCCTTTGTTATTCTCCGGAAATTATTATTTATAAGGTTTGTTATGAGCAAAAGCAATGAATAAAATATTAAAACTTTGAACTAACTAACAAATGCATTTCCAGATGGGTCAACGACTGTGCCCATCAAACTCTACTTAATCCCATAGAATTAAAGATTATCACTTAATCCATCGCATCCTAATTTGGCGTTTATTATAATGTTCTAGTTTAAAAAGCTTTCAGAAAGCAGGCAGATTAATTATCTAGATTAACTTTATCTATCATTTTGATAAAAAAAACATAATCCTTTAGTTTTGAAAATATTTTTGATGAAAAGTGCGATATTTTAAAGACAAGAATCAATTGATGTCAAGCAGTGCTGAAGAGGTCTTTCGAAAAGTTAAATTACTTAATAAATAATTGTTTGCTTTTATCGTGCGATTTATTTAATTGTTTTGATTGAAGTATTGATTTAATTGTTGTATTCATTAATTGTTTGTTTTACTCATTTTTTTTGTGTTACAAGAAATGCCACAAATCTATAGCAAAGACTCTTTCGATAGATTTGGTGACGATTTGTGCGAAGAGTTGTTGTCTTTCCTCACATTTGAAGACCGATTCC